TTTTTTTTTTTTTTTTTAAATTTTGACGACTTTCTTTGAAGAAAAACTCAAAATGTTCACGAAGAATTTCCGTAGGCGATCAGAAATATTCAATTTAGTTTTATCAAATGATTTTATTCTTTTCGAGAGAAACCAATTTCTTCTGGAAAAGAATAAATATCAAACAAATTGTGCACAAATTCCGACAAAAAGTTGAAAAGATTCCAAATTTCAAAAAAAGGCGACCTAATTCTTCACGAGAGAAACCAATTTCTTCTAGAAAAGAATCAAAATCGAACAATTTTATTTAAAATTAGGCAAAAATATTCAACGACTTCAATTTTAAACGAACCCGACCTAATTCTTCACGAGAGAAACCAATTTCTTCTAGAAAAGAATTAAAATCGACCAAAATTTCCAAGAATTCTTAAAAAGATGTATGCCAACAGCAGGAGCTAATATGAAGTTTTACCAAACAATTAATAAAACTTCCCCAGATGCTAAAATTTTCCCGAAATTCTTAAAGAAAATCAACGAAGGTTTTTTAATAATGGCACAAAAATTACCAAAATGATCAAAAACTGTAAAATTTCCGACAAAAACCCAATCAAATTCTTGAAATTGCAATGAAATTCCAAAAAACCAATCAAAAAGTGACCGAAATGTCCGAAAACAAATCAAAAAACAAGCTTTTTTCCAAAAATTTGAACGAAAAAAATCCAAAAAAATTGCGAAAAACAACAAAATATTTAAATTTCTGTGTATAGAAAATATATAAAATGTTAAATAAAAAATGTATATTTAACTAAATTTTCAAAAATATAAATTATTATTTAAAAAATATTTACTTTCGTAAAAAATAACCAAAAAAGTATATTATTTATACGAAGCGACCAATAAATCGACCAATGCGGACTGTAGAGTGCACGATATTTAATTATTTCCAAAATAATTACAATTTATTCACACATACACCATTAACATATATAACAATTTTTTTCACCTTTGTACCAACGTATTAACTAACCACCATCGACCGAACCGAATGGTGTAGCGCACACGTAACAAAGAAGAAATAAAAAGAGAAATAAAAAACTAGGCGAGCGACGGCTGCCTAACCAAGCATATGTATGTAACTGGTGTATGTATGTATAAACATCAAACAGACGATCGACGACCGCAAGCGTACATATGTCACACGCGTAAATATGTAAATATAATTATGTATGATGGATCAGTGAAAAAATAGAAAATATGAACAAGTGATTTTTGGAGTTTGGTGGTGTTTTTTTCTTTTGTTATTCTTTTTTAATGTGAACGAACACTAGAGTGAGTGGATGCTATTGCAATATTTATTATATTTATTTATTAAAATTATTCAAATTTTCATTTAAAAACCGATTGCACCACAATTATTATTAAAAATAATTTATTTAAATTTTATCCACTCACTTTTGAAACAAAATTCACTTGTTAATAATTATTTTTCAAACACAAAAATATTCTTTTTTTCCACTGATCACTATGTCCGTCCGAGACTAATAAACAAGAGAACGATAGAAGGACGGACAAACAAAGGGAATACGCGACGCGTTGCAAAGCGGCCGTTGTTGTTGTAAAAAAAAATAGGTTAACGAACTTTATTTTGTTTTGTTATTAATTTCGATAGTTATTATTTTTTCGCGAGCTCACAATAAAAAACACTGCACTGACCTACCTTTTGTTTGATGACGATGTAAATAGATGATGGTGATGATGTAAATAATGTTGATGGGGGATGATGATGTTGTTGCTGTTGGGAAGAACCAAACAAAAAAATCCAATTAGACAACGATACCAAGTAGCTCGTATCCGGCTCGATGGACCAAATAATGTTACCGCCGAAATTGCGTATAAAAATAAATAAAATAAAAACACGAACGTTTTAATTTTAAATTCAAAAAAAGTATGGTAGATTTATTGGGAAAAATTAATAAATAAGAAAAAGGTGTAGGACAGATTACCTGTTGGTTGGTTTGGCAGCGAGAACAAGAGTAACTTTTTAATAATGTCGAAAGAGGCGTCGGCGGCAAATTTATACTCGTTAGAATCTGCATTTGACAGTTCAATGTTGTAACAAAAAGGAATCTGCAGATTGTAACGAGTATAGCATTCGACAAAGTCTCAAACACAATGAATGTGGAGACGACAATGGAAATTAATGAACTTACGATTCTAAATTAAACAAATAATAATAATAATAATAATAATATAATAATAATAATAATAATATAATAATAATAATAATAAAATATAATAATAATAATAATAATACTAATAATAATAATAATAATAATAATATAATAATAATAATAATAATAATAATAATAATAATAATAATAATAATAATAATAATAATAATAATAATAATAATAATAATAATAATAATAGGAAGAAGAAGAATAATCATAGTAATAGTAATAATAATAATAATAATAATAATAATAATAATAATAAATAATAATAATAATAATAATAATAATAATAATAATAATAATAATAATAATAATAATAATAATAATAATAATATAATAATAATAATAATAATAATAATAATAATAATAATAATAATAATAATAATAATAATAATAATAATAATAATAATAATAATAATAATAATAATAATAATAATAATAATAATAATAATAATAATAATAATAATAATACTAATATAATATAATAATAATAATAATAATAATAATAATAATAATAATAATAATAATAATAATAATAATAATAATAATAATAATAATACTAATAATAATAATAATAATAATAATAATAATAATAATAATAATAATACTAATAATAATAATAATAATAATAATAATAATAATAATAATAATAATAATAATAATAATAATATAATAATAATAATAATAATAATAATAATAATAATAATAATAATAATAATAATAATAATAATAATAATAATAATAATAATATAATAATAATAATAATAATAATAATAATAATAATAATAATAATAATAATAATAATAATAATAATAATAATAATAATAATAATAATAATAATAATAATAATAATAATAATAATAATAATAATAATATAATAATAATAATACTAATAATAATAATAATAATAATAATAATAATAATAATAATAATAATAATAATAATAATAATAATAATATAATAATAATAATAATAATAATAATATAATAATAATAATATAATAATAATAATAATAGATAATAATGATAATAATAAAGAGAAGAATAATAAAAAAGAGAAATAAAGAGAAGAGGGTGAAAAGAGATGAAAGAGATTATTCATCATGTTGAGCCTTTGTGGGGGAGGTTCCGATGGAGTTGACCAATATTGTCCAACTCCTCTCTGAGATATGTCTGATATAAATATTACAACGTGCTATATTTCGACTATATCACTTGATATGAGATATGTTATATTTTAAGGAGAATGTTGAAATGTGCGTGAGTTGCCGGATATAGTGGATCGAAGCATTCCAATTCACCTAATACTAATAAGAAAATTGTGACCTGCCAGTTACCAGTTAATCGGACATTTATATCAATTTTATGCGAGTAAGTGTAAATCAAAATTTTAACTTTTTTTGGAGGAGGAGTTATCAGAGGGAGGGGTTAGAAAAATTCTTAAGATATACCAATGGAATCGCTGACTTGTTTCGCAAGTTATGAGAGATTTAAGAAATTAAACATGTGATCGTTTGTGGGGAAGGTGCCACAAGGGGTAGGCCGATATCTATCATCTTCACACCATATCTTGTTTTAAAAGAATCGAGAACTTACTTTGCATTTTTAGGGAATTTTGTTATTAAAATTTTGATCAATCTGTGCGGGAGGTACCAGAAGGAGGAGATCAATATATCTCATTTTCAGACTAGATCTTGTATTAATAAAAATATTGGGATGTGTGTAATTTTAAGAGAGTCGGATGCTTATTTCGCTTTTTATGAGAGATATAATTATTCAAAATTTTGACCCGTTGTGGGGGAGGTACCAGAAGATTTGGTCCGATCTGTACCATCTTTGCCAAATTTTGATCAATCTGTGCGGGAGGTACCAGAAGGAGGAGATCAATATATCTCATTTTCAGACTAGATCTTGTATTAATAAAAATATTGGGATGTGTGTAATTTTAAGAGAGTCGGATGCTTATTTCGCTTTTTATGAGAGATATAATTATTCAAAATTTTGACCCGTTGTGGGGGAGGTACCAGAAGATTTGGTCCGATCTGTACCATCTTTATAAAATATTTTGAGCTAATAGAAATATTGAGATGTGTCAAGTTTGAATGGAATAGGATGTTAATTTCGCGTTTTATGAGCTTCATGGATATGCAAAATTTAGACCCTTAGTGGGATAGGTACAAGAAGTAGTGGACCGATATATTCCATCCTCACAGCAGATATTGTTGTAGTAGAAATAATAGAATGTGTGTAATTTGAAGACAATCGGAGTCTTACATCACATTTTATAAGAGTAATAATTATTATTAAAATTTTACCCTTTGTGGGGGAGGTACCAGAAGGAGTGGGCCGATATTGTTCATCTCCGAATTCGATCTAGGTTTTATAATAAAATTGCGATGTACTATTTTTGCATCAAATAGGATACTCCCTTCGAGAATTATTTTGCGCAGACAGACGAACGAACGGAAATCACTAGATCGACTCCAAATATCCTGAACGGATTTGGTCCAATGACAGCTAGGGTCTAAAACCTTTAGACCACGTTTTGGCTGTATCATATGATAGATACCCCCAGTAGTCATTTGGCGGAGGGTATAAAATACTGCCTAGAATTTCGGTATATAGTTATTGATCGAAGTTCAGTTTCTTGAGTTAAATGAAGTATTGTTATGAGATAAGGGTTCTACTAATTTTCGAAAATAAAATTTAATGTTCCCCCCCCACCTCTAATAAGCAAATTCTCAGCATTTCACATAAAACCTCAAAATAAAATAAAACCAAATGCCAATGAGATTTTTCTCTTTTTTTATTAAATCCACATTTGACATTTTTCCGGCACATACATTTCATTCTTAGCTGTACAATTGAACACCTCAGAAAATGCATTTAAATGAGACAGCGCATCATTGACCCGATCACTGGCTAGACCATGTTCATCTTCATCATAATCGCCGTTGTCGGTGTCACAATAGTATTGGGCAAAGTTAAGGAAAAATATTTGACTCAACTTCATTTGTTTGCCGTGGATTGGTCTACTGCTCTCGTGGGCCTCAGGAAAACGGTGAATAAATGCCTTGTATGCATAACGCAGACCACTTATATCGGCAATTTTCTCATCCACAGATTGAGGATTTAGATTTTCTAGACACTGAAGCCTTTCGGCAATAAGGGCGGTTCTCAAAATGCGTTTATATTCCACATCATTTGTTTGACCCTCGGCATCGATTTGAAGGCCAGTATAGTCAAAGGAATGGAAGATTTCATGGCCAATGGCAGCGCCCAAGCCACTGTATTTATATACTGGCTTAAAATTGGGGTGATATATGGGTTGACGCAGAGACGTAAAGGGAACTATGATGGTGTTTTCCTGCACCACATAATAGGGCGAGTTGCTGTCGCCCTCTTCTGGGGGATCCAGATTAAAAAATCGCCTATAATCTGCCATTGCCAGGCTGGGCATAATTTCATGAGAGGCATGGAAAGAAAATTCCAATAATTTCAAATGATTGCCATAAAAATCACGGGCAGATAAAGAGATGTTGGCATAGAAAGTTTCCACAAAACTGGCCGTATCCAAGGACGGCAAATTGCCTATCTTCAGTTTTATGGCTTTTAATTTTCCCAAGAGATACTCAAAACTGGACGGATGTATTTGGGATTTGTGATCATTCAAGGTTTGATTAAACTGCTGGATTATGTTCTGAAACATTTCTTCAACTTCGGATATAATAGCCTTCAATTTTCCACGATTTTCCTGGTACAGCCAATTGCTGGCCAGAGGTAAAAGATTCCTTACCATATCTGCACATTCCCAGTGTGAAAAATCTGTGGGGGTATTCTGATGTAAATACCATAAAAATCGAATGGTTAAATATTTACAAATCGCTGGAGCCTTAAAGTCCCGGGCTAGATTTTCCAAGGCCTCAAAATACTTTTGATTCAAAAGAATCAGTTTCAAATTCTCATCCAATGATGGTTTATTTAGCAGCCGGCTGAGATATGTTTTTAGCCATGGAAAGGGTAAATCTCTGAATTCCATTGGTTTAGTTTCGAGATCCTCATCCTCATCTTCCTCCTCAATGTTTGTAATTTCTTTTATACGTTTCTCTATCCATTGGACTTCGTGCCACAAGGAGTCTAATGCCGTAGAATTTATGTTGAGAGACATGGAGTTCATAAGGGATCTAAAATTTCTCAAAGAGAGTCTTTTGAAACTTTCGCTCTCTGGTTTCTTAAGGGTAATTATGATTTTTCCTTTTTCTCCCATAAAAGGCAGCATATCTTCTTCCACCAGTATGCCATTAAGGCCATATCTCCGTAGCCCAGCCAATATTTCAATCCAATCGTTCTCTTCCCCTAACAAATCTCCCAAAAGGGGGAGAGTAAAATTCGCCTCCTTGTTCAACCACACAAGGTAATTGAGATGATCGAAATCCTCGACACCAACACATGTCTCATAGGCACTCTTAAGTTTCCTCACAAAACCAGGTGGCTTAGCACTTTCAACCTCCATAACATCCAGTTGCCGGGCCAGCTCTTTGCTAGCCTTATAACCAGCCAAACCCAACACCTCCGTATAAATATCCTCCGTCTCATTTGCCTCTTGCCATTTTTGCCATTTTCCACAGGCATATTCATAGAAATTATCGCAAGGATTCACCTTTAAATTCATGAATAGCTCAATATATCTTTCATGTTGACGATTCACTCCCAGGCGTTTATTTGCTCTCGATGGGACCGCCGAGCTGCTACGCAGCAAAGTCAATACACAACTAATACAAATAACGATTTGGTAAAATTTCATTTTCGAAAATAATCTCATCCGTCTATTTGGGGTTTGCTTTCGTTTTGAAATTTGTACTGATAAGAAATTGAAATTGGAAATTAAAAAAAAGAGAAGATTGTCTTCTAAAAAAATTCTTATCAATTCCAACAATTGATTTCTAGGTCATCGGCTTTGTGAATTATTTAAATAGGCTTACAAATTATAAAAACAAATATTGAAAATTATTCAAGATCAAAGCGATCTTCTCGGAACTAAATATCAAATGAAAGACGAGACGAAATAGGAATACCCTTTAGGATCAGAAAAGAAAATTCTGACAAATATGTATACCAGAAGGGAAAGGTCAAAAGTCGGGCGGGCAGACTATATAATACCCTACAACATTAACTGTAAAATCGGATGAATATGTATATCGCAGCAATATAAAAATTCGAACAGATCTCCATAAAATTTGGCAGAGGTATTTTCGAGCAGTAGCAGTAGTATCAAATATCATTGTTGTGGAGTGCATATTACGCATGTGAAGACTTGAAACCCCAAATCGGATAAAATATATATGGGAGATATAGATATTGCTTCTTGGATGAATTCCTTCGAAAATGCCAAAATTCAGTCCATTTAGGCTGATATTAGCCATTTGGTGCACAATAAACTTGATATCGGAAAAATTTATATATGGGAGCTATATCCTAAACTTATCCGATCTCGATAAAATTTCATAGAGGTATTTTTGAGCTCCATTAGTTATCTGGTACCAAAGATTATTATTGTGAAGTTCATATTACGCATATGAGGGTCTTAAAATCCCAAATCGGTGGAAACATATATATGGGAGCTATAGCTTTATCCGAACCGATTTTCATCAAATTTGAAGTACTTCTTTCTACGATGAATTCAATCGAAATTGCCAAGATTCAGTTCATTTTGGCTGATATTAGCCATTTGGTGTACAATTTACCTAAAATCGGATAAAGATATATATGGGAGCTATATCCAAATCTGACAAAATTGTACACACATATATGTGGGAGCTATAACTATATCTGGACCGATTTTCATTAAATTTAATGTACTTCCTTCTAGACTGAATTTGGGTCGAATGTGCCAAAAAAGGCCTAGCATAATAAATCAGAACACATCTCAATAAAAATATGAAAAGATCTCGAAAGTTTTAAGCTCCATAAGTCATCTGGTAACAAAGATTATTGTTGTGGAGTGCATATTACCCATCTGAGGGTCTTAAGCGCCAACTAGAATGAAACATATATATGTGACCTTTAGTTATATCTGAACCGATTTTCTCCAAATTTGAAGTACTTGCTTCTAGACGGAATTCGTGGGATGAGCCAAAATCATTTGGACTGATATTAGCCATATTGTGCACAATTTATCCGAAATCGGTTGAAGATGTATATGGATGTATTCTCACCAATTTCAATAGGGTTCGTCCTTGGGCCAAACAAATCTTGTTAGGAAAAGGTCATCTGAATCGGATAATAAATGCGACCTGCATTTAGTTTACAAAAATACATGGACCGACGGACGGACTGATATGCATAAATGTTTTTTTTTTCTTGTGGCGCCCAACGTGGGGCACCGCATTGTTTGCTTTAATTGTGGAGGCACTCTGATGGAAGTTCAAATTATGACAGATGGAGTCTATATGTGGATACACTTGAATATTGGCTTTTCACCGTTTTTAATTGGAGAAATACCAGAAGGAATTGAACGAAATATTGAAATGTGCACAGTTTGAAGACAATCGGTAAATTATTTAGTACTTTAAAAGTGTTATATTCATTCAAAATGTTGACGTTTTTGCGAGAGATGTTATGAGAAGGGCGTCGTACTGTCCATTTTAGTACCCATCCTACGTTTGATTAAAGATATTCACAAAATTATATAACTCATGTAGCTCTATGACTGAGAATATAAATAATTGTGCCACCACTTTTGGAATTTGTGGGGCAATTGCCAGAAAGAGTTTAATGATTAGGAAAAACTGGGCACGTTGGACCTCTATGGCAGTGCCAACTAAAGCCTAGCATAACAGCGTTCTTAAAAAGTAAATTAATAATTTATTTTTTCACCACACAAAAGCTTTGGCATTTAATTGTTATTTCGTTAACTTACCATTTCCTTTTATTTACTAATAAATAACAAATTTCGAAAATATTTTCTTAAAACACTTCGTATCATTTATTTGTTTGCTTTAAATTTAATTACCAAATATTTTACAAGAGCTGGAGGAGGATTTTTCAACAATTTCGAAAAAGAATTAAAATTGAATTATTCAAATCATTGTTTATTTTTTTCTTCTTATTCTAGAAACAAAACGAACATGTTTTCATACAAAATTTACATTTAATTGCCATTCGATTGAAATGATGTACGAGTTCTATTTGTTATTTATAATAACATATGTTCTTTTTTTAATTTTATGTGACTATAAAAATATCTATAAGTAAATTACATACGTAGACACATCCACACACAAACAAATATTTTCATGAATATGAAATTAACCACATAATTTAATGAAAATTCATTTTAGCTTTCAATTTTTTTTATTGAATGGGAAATAAAAAATATTCTGGACAGTTGTTTCATAACGAATAAAAAATAATAATATTTGTAACAACATATGTATATATGAAGACATCCATTATCATCTGTACAGACAGTTAACATTTAAATATATATATATATATTTTTTTTTAATTTACATATATAAAAATTATGTTTGTAAATGTGACACTTGTCGTTTCACTTTTTTTGTTTATTACACTTTATATAATACTTATATAATACATATTTAATTAATACTATTTACTTAATTTTATATTTCTTTTATTATTTAACATGTCTGTGGTTTGCGGCCACAGTTTTTGAATGACAATTATTGTCAGTTTTTGTTATTGAACTACGGGGCTCTTAGTAGTTGAAAAACAAAAATTCAATAATTGTCATTTTTATTTTATTTTTGTTATTTTTGTATTATATTTTTACATCCGCCTAAGGATTTCAAATCAATGTTTGGTTTTAATATTTTATTTCAAAATATATTATACTTTGGGAGTTAAATAAAAATTGGATAGAAAGAACACTTTGCTACAAAAATACTCATAAGGTATCATATTCATCGTCAGGTATATTTGAAAATGTTGATAAAACCACCAAATACTACAAATCGGGGGGTATCTTCTAATTCTAAGTTAAAATATTTTGGAAGAGGACATATTTAATTCACTTACAATATTGAGAGCTGTTACTGAACAAGAAGTTAAAAAGCCATTAAGAACGACCGGGAAGAGCTTTTAATACCCTCCAACATTTGGAAAGTGACAGTTTTGAAAATTCATCACTAAGTGCCGTTATTAGCTGCTTACAATGCAAAATTTAAAAATTCCGTTCAAAAATGCGGCTGAATTAATTAAAAATCTAATATCGGCTGGTATAGGCAATTTGCTGTTATGGGAGGTGATATCTATTGGAAACCCCAAATACCAGCATTGAAATTCGTCCGATAAAAAATGTGGCTCAAATTAAAAAAAAAAACAAGTTAAAAAGCAGTAAGTTCGGCCGGGCCGAACTTTTAATACCCTCCACAATTTGCAACGAATTTGGAAATTTTCAAAAAATAAAATCCTTAAAAAATTCTGTTAAAATTTTAAAAATACCGAATATAGCCGTTATTTTGGGGTCTATACGGCGTGGACATATATAGGCATTGTTTGTCATAAGCCTCTACCATATTCAAATTCGAAACTTGAAATAAACGGTGAATAATGCAGCTAAAATCATCAAAATACCGAATATAGGGAGGTACCGTTATATGGGGGCTATACGAAGACCTGGACCCGCACAGACAATTTTCTGCCACAGACTGTAGTTCCCATAACGAACTTCAAATACCAATTTTAAAACAATCCCGGTAAATAATGTCGCTAAAATCATCAAAATACCGAATATCGGGGGGTACGGTATATGGGGGCTATATGAAGACGTGGACCTGTATGGCCCATTTTCTGTTTTATGCTGCAGTATCTATTACGAACTTCAAATACCAAATTTGGAACGATTCCGCTAAATAATGTCGCTAAAATCATCAAAATACCGAATATCCGGGGGTACCGTTATATGGGGGCTATATGATGATGTGAACCAGAGGGCTGCAACGAGTATGCAAAAATTCAAGCATACTCGGTTTCTTACATGATTTTTGTTGATGCAGTCGTTTAGTTTGATCTGAATGAAATGACCGTTTTCGCTTCTGATCGAATCGAACGCTCAGTTTGAATCACTTCACTCACAATCAAACATGAGCGTTCGAGACGGTTTGATGTGTTCAGCAATATGAGTTGATCGAACACATGAATGTAAATGAGCAATCACAACCGTGATTGTCTTCTTTGAATCGAGTTCGCTCAGCGTCATTGTTTATTCAACCATTTAATCAAGTTGGGACAGTTTATTTTGACTTTTTTAATATTTGAAATGGAAGAATATTGTGATAGTGCGACCGAAATTGTTGCAAGTAGAAACTACACAGGTGTAGGTAAACGAAAAGGTCGAAGTTTGTGAAAAATCTTGACCAATATTGTAAAATAAAAAAATATTTAAACATTTTTAGTTTTCTAAATACCAATGATGTTTTCCTTTATTAAAAAATTTAATTTTGTTTTTTTTTTTTCAAATAAAATGAAAAATTGTATGCTTATTAAATATAATTTGTACCAATTTCTTTAATGGGGACATCTTTTAGTTATGAAATCCTTAGTAAAATTACAATCATGATTTCGCTCAAATTCGAACATTTGTGTTTTAATCAAATCAAATCACTCACTTAACTACGATAAATAAAACCGATCAGACTCATCATAGATGATCGACCCGTTATGAACAATTCAACATAAGTTCGTAAACAAATAACTCATGTGAGCTGTTTGATTGCGATCACAAAACTTCGATCAATACATGTTTGATCACAACTTTTTCGTTTGGCTTGAGTAACTCGAATGAACATGTACATCTGACCGACTGATTGAGTTTGATTGTATT